TAACTGGGGATATGAAATATATTAGAAGGAGCGTGCCTAAGCCCAGACTTCCATTAAATTTTAATTCATTTTTCTCTCTTCTCTTATCAACCACTTTCAATAAAATAATATTAAACATAAATCTCAAAATTCTTCTTATTTTTTAACCACACATTCTTCAAAAAACACTATTTCTAAATCAATTTTTTTCAAATAATGGAGCTCAAACAAGGGCTAAATTATTTAACTCTCAATTAATTAAGTTTTGAATAGATAAACCATCAAATCGATTGATAGAATAAAAGCTTTTTCTCATAATTATACGGGTGTAATAATGGGTTGGGTAGTTTGAATCGATCCACGGCATAGAACTGACAACTTTTTTTAAGGCTGATGGTCAATCAGCTCTTAATTCAAATTCAAATTCAAATTATTATTATTATTATTATTAATTTTGTAAGAGCTTTGCTTCTTGTACAGAAGCAGAGTGGCAAGAAAATGGCCACACTTATTTTCTGGCCAATTTATTTGGCCAATAATTCTGTACAAATAGAATTATTGATTTTGTAATATTAACACAGGCTCGATGGCACGACGGTAACTGTCATCTTCGATCATTTAAATTGGACTGATCTAAAGTTTTCCGTTAGTGGCTCGTGGATCGGTCCACTCAAATTATGAGCCATGTTTGAACGGGCCAAACATGACCCGTCCAATTTTACACCACTATATTTGTAGGTCAGTAGGTTGGTCGTATTATAAGATTTGAAAGATAAAACGAGATATGCAAGAGCCATATTTTAAGATTCTATTACACATTTGCATTGATATAAATGTAGGCAGCCCTTCCAAATGCCTACCCTTTTTGACACCCGAAGAACGAGAGAATTCAATAATGTTATTTGATTAGAAGAGCATCCTATCATTTCAAGAGTAATACTATTTAACATCATTAATATCAATTTACGTAGCATTCAAGTATTATTAATTGATCGATCATCTTAAAAGTAAGAAGATGAGCCATAATTTAAGACGATCAATTACTTGAAAACACGTAGATTGATGTTAAGTATCATTATTTAACATTTTAAAATCTTGCTATAAGATTTATGTAACCTCGATTTGGTCATTCAGTATTTTATTTGCTTGCTTCACATATAATAGTATCACATATTGTGGAATGGATAATGCAATTTATTATCAGTATCGAATGGAGCCCACTTTAAATAAGTGCCACCGATGCTTAGACAAAGTAAAAGAGGTTGGATAATTTAAGGGGCGATATGACAACCTAAACTCTTACTAAACATCATCGGTATTAAATAGCATCACCGAAACTTAATAAAATTCTCATATCCATATTGGTTGCTCTACATCATTACTCGATCGGAACATACTAACTTTTCAATATAATGTGTTTGGTACACGTTCTTTTGAAAGAATGTATTATTGAATAGTAGATTGATAGAGAATGTATGGTTAAAAATGAAGAAAAAGTTATTGATGTGATGGAAAATATTATTTTATTGAAAAATGTGTGGTTGAAAATAAGTAGAAGAATGAAAATGAAAAAAATGTGTACCAAACACGGCCTAAATTTTGCCAAAATTCACAATCTTTCAAACATCCCAGTCTACAGAGGATAGGAGTAGGATACAGCTCTTGCTTTGCTGCCCTGTTTCTCCTCTTCTGCAAAAGTTCATACAGCGCAAGGTGATTCTTATACAGATATGCTTAATTTTATCACGATTTATCAGAATTGAGATGGGTTGAGGTTTCAAAATTCTGCAGCAGAGATTGCTTTCTATTTATATTGCTTCTGTTGCATAATTCTTCACGATTTGCGGAGAATGAAGGAACCAATTTGTGCCATTGCAGGAGTTGAATCTGTTGGTTTACTTGCCGCGGGTCGAAGCAACGTGCTTGAATAAGAGTGGTGTCAGTAAGTATTGCGACTTATAAAAACGTCCTTTTTGAATTTTTATATAAACGTGATCTTCATTTGAATGAGACGTAGTAGCAATTCTTGCTTCTATACTCTTTTCTTGTGAATATCATTTTCGTCATTCCCAGAATTTTTACAAGCCTGTGATGATCGTACGATCAATTCACTGATTAATTTTGAAAGAAGGTTCGCGGGTCTTTTTGTTAGGTATGGAAAAGACTTTACTTTCTCTAGTCGACTTCCTTTTCCATTGCAAGTTTGTATATTGACAAACTCGTTAATGTACTCGTTAATTTGTGCTATTGTTTACTGTTTTAATTCCTTATCCACTTCATTACTTGGCATTTAAGAAGACTAATGTGTTTATATTTTTCTTATTTTATATACGTGACTTGCCTACAATTGATGGGGTGACATTTTCGGTAATTTATATGAATGATGAAATGGGGACCTTTACCATCACAGTTATTTGATTATTTCTCACGAGTTTGATCTAAATAAGAAGATAGAATGACATATATGTTGTTTAATCATGTGATTTTCCACACTTTTCAAAGATTGTGCTTATTTTTGGGTTAGAAATTACTTATGGGTGTCTAAGCATTCATGTGACAGAGTATTGTTTGTGAAGGTTAAATCGAATAGTTAATTAGTGGTTCTCTAATGACATACAGGTACCCGTAATCATCTACCATGGATACAAATTCAATCCAAAATCCTGATGGAGATTGTCAAAGAAGAGAAAAAGGACTGAAAAGGAAGGCTAATGAAAAACATGGACTGCAAATCATGGATCAGATGGATGATAATTTGGAAGTACCCAACACTGGCAAAAGTTGTACTATTGCCAATAAGGATTTTCAAGACAGTCATCTTGAATTGGATTCAACTGCACAATCGCAGGTCGAACAACCTAAAATTGATACAAGGACAACTGGAAATCTTATTGCAGAAGGGACTGAGAGAAAAAAGAAGACTAAAAATAAAGATGAACTTCAGTTCTTGGAACAATCAGATATTATGTCAAGTAAGAACTTGTTGAATGTAAATAATGGACTAGAGAATGAAGGTATGCTAAACAAAAACGAGAGCACTGCTCAAGAATCTGATGTTGAGGTGACCGAGCATCTCTCAACATCTATTGTGAAGAAAGATCACTTGTCAAATGATTCACGTCTATATCTGGAAATAGCACCGGTTGCATGTGTTAGGAGAAAACTTCTTGTCCTTGATGTCAATGGTCTACTTGCAGACATTGTAATGCCAGCACCAAAAGACTGTATTGCGGATGCATATATCTGGGGACGGGCGGGTGAGAATAAAATATTTATCAATGTTGTGAAATTATTTCTGATATAAACTTATGATGATATTAGGACGACCAATTAGTTATTAAAACCTAATCAACCAACACTTCACTCTTGTAGTATTCAAGAGACCCTCCTGTGATGATTTTCTGAAGTTTTGCTTCGAGAAGTTTGATGTGGGCATATGGTCATCAAGATCCAAGTATTCGTTGAACTTTGTGCTATTTTCTGATGTCGTATTTCTTATGCTATGTTTCGTCTTCTATTTGCCAAGAGTAAGCAAATTCTGAAAGAAATAGTAACATTAATTTCTTTGCTAGCTATCTAACTGGCTGTTTGTTTCCCTTCCATAAATTTCTAACACTAACCTTAGCTATATATTTGATGTGCAGGAAAATTATTGAGAACTTTGCCAATTATTTATTGGGAGATCTACAACACAAACTGCTGTTTTGTTGGGTAATCTTCTTCACAACTATCAAAATAAAAGGATGTACATCCAAAAATATATTTTTTACCCATGCCTAATGTATTGTTTTGTTTTTAATGGTAAAATTACTTGGCATCAAGAAAACATTTTGGAGAGAGTAAAGTGGTACTGTTATCATTTTATTTACAGCATTGCTACAACTAGGATGCATTGACACCCTCCTGGTACTGACAACACGACACTGACACGTTGCTGACACATGTCGAAAATGCTAAGGAGCGTGTTCACATTATTTTTTAGTTTTGCACAGTTGAACACATCGTTAACAAATTATTAACACGTCAAAGATACATCGTGTTAGACATCAACACGTTGCAGGCACGTGTCGAAAATGCTAGGCAGTGTGTCTAAATTATTTTTTATTTTGTAGAGTTGGATACAACAATAAGTCTGACATGCTGGTGGATACATTGCCAATACACTAAGAGATACATTGTCTAAATGTTGTTGATATATTGTAGACACGACGGAATTAACAAAAGTAAATTTACTTCACAATATAAAAAATAAAAAAACATATTATTCTAATCAGCGTATTGGGGACGGGCAGTATCGGTACTTTTTTGAAAAACTGCATTTCAACATGTCCATCTTGTCTCCTGTCCATGTCGCCAGGGCTACAACCTTCCAATCAAGGAAGGCTCATACTTACTGAACCATATGAATGTTTTTGGTGAGTGGTTATTCAATTCATATAGGCGTGATTGGATGCTAGAGGTGTGTTAACTTAGGCAGTCAAACTTACCCAACCTTATTCAACTCTTATTGGTTGATTTTACTCTCGGATTTAGAATTCATAAGTTTGAATTGTAATTGTACATTTTTTTTGCAGGATATGTCGCATAGTACTCAGACGGGGTACAAAACTCTTGACAACATGCAAAAACCCTTGGTCATGAAGGAGCTAAAGAAAATATGGGAAAAAGATGATCCTAATCTTCCTTGGGAGAAGGGATATTATAATGAATCGAACACATTATTGTTGGATGATTCTCCTTACAAGGCCTTGCTCAATCCTGTAAGCTTCTCACTACTTTCTACGTTTTCTGTCAGGTTATTTGATTTTCTCCATTTCTGTTAGTTAAGTTTATGTCCTAATTCTTGATTTTTTGTTTTTCATTGTTTTAGCTACACTCTGCAATTTTTCCACATTCCTTCCATTACCAGGATAAAAGTGACAATTCACTAGGTGAGATTCTTTTCCATATTGTTCTTTGGATTATTCTAAACGGACAGGGCCTACGTGGCCCTGTACGTGTAGCAAAACCCTTGTTCTTTATGTGTCAGCTGGTTTTTCATTGTTGTATTCTGTTTTGGAGTTTGTCATTGACAAGGGAGGTCAGTGTAATTTTTCGTCCCTCTAAAATTTTTCGAAACCACAAGAGTAGAATACAGGTAGGTACACACAAAATAAAGTTCAATTTGGGATATGCCCGTGAATTATTTGTTTTACATTTATGGTGGAAAAAGAATTTATGCTTACGGAATTCAAACCCGTGTCACATAACACCGCGGCTAGGTTTCACATGTAAAGATATGAAAGTATGAGCTCAAATGGCCAGCCAAGTTCTGAATGAAGCTTTAGTACACTACGTGATAGCAATATACTCTGTAGCACGAACACTTCAACTAGGATAACGTATCCGTATCCGACACGTGTCGGATACCGACACTCCCCGGACACTTTGTCATGGTCATTTTTATCTTTATCAAAATATATAATATTTTGAACTCAAAATTATTATTAAATAACAAATAGGTATTCTTATTTAAAAGATTTGGAAAAAAAAAATTACTAACAAGTATAAAACTAAATTTATACTATATAAATGAAGAATCTTAAAGAATTTAATCAACATGTTGATGATATATCGTGTCAGTACTTTTTTTAAAAATCGTGTGTTGGCGTGTCCGTGTCGGTGTGGCAACATATTTTGGATACTGAATTTTTCAATCTCTGATTTTGCTCCGCCTTTTTAATTTAGAAGCACTTTTGCGCAATATCTTTTCACAAATTATTTGATGAAGATTTGACTATCAACTGAAGGCTAGGCACAGTGCTGTCCCTTTTCTTAGTTCATTGTATGGAAGATTGCTTGTTTAATATGCTCATCCATCACAGGTCCCGGAGGTGATCTTCGAGTTTATTTGGAAGATATGTTGATGTGTGACGATGTAAGGAAATATGTTGATCAACATCCATTCGGTCAAAGTGCTATAGATGAAACAAATGTGTTTTGGAGATTCTACTCATGGGTTCTTCAGAATCTGTCCACTTGACCAGTCTAGAGAAACCTCACTGTTCCCTGCTTGCTTGTGGGATCCATGAACTCTAGCGACAATAGCATTTTTCTCTCTGGTATTTGTCTTTTACATTAGGGAATATGGAAAAGGTGGAAGCATTTAGACATGGCTGATTCAAGTATAAAGAATGACACAGTTGGACATTACTTCGACATATTGCTGTTGATGATACTTGGTATAACAAAACCGAATCCAATAATGGACCTTCAGAGTGTGCCACCTAAACTTTCTCCCTCTTTTCCTTTATGTTAGAGTTAAAAATAATAAGTAGAAATTTGGCTGAGATTGAGTACATTGGATTCCCCCATTCTTTTTGTTGTTTTTATCATTACTAATAAATATCTTCATCTATTATATTTATAGTTTAGGTCCAGGAGTTGTATTTAATAGATGTTCTGGTAATATTATGACTGGCATTTGTCATTGTTTTGAATGTAGAGATGCTTATTTATAGAGGAATATGAAATGATTGTGTTGTTTACTCATCAGCTTCTGCTTTGTATTGCCAGTTACTATTGCAAATCGATTCAGCTGGTCAATGACAATATTTTGACATGTTCAAAATTTTGAGGTTGACGGAATTTTGAAGTATGTTCTGTTGTTTCTAATATACGAGAATATTGTTATCGAACATGCTTATTTGTCATTTTTATCAGTCATTTTTGCAGAATTTCTCCCACATATATACTGTTTATTTGATTACACTCGTGTGTCAATTGGGCACAGCAAGTGTAAACAGGTTGGTTAGAAACTGGGCCTAAAAGTCTCTGGATCTTTTTGGGAATTGGTACAAACAGATGAATGTCAAAACATCTGGAACTTGAAGCAAGGGTTGGATAATAAAGATTGACCTAATACTTGAAGTTACTATTTACTCTATTTGTATGATTCGGATGTCTCATATTTCTTGAGAAAGTGATTTGATTCCATAATTTTGGCATGCTTAAAGTTGAACAAAGAAAAAAATTAAAAAATTAAAAAAAATAATACTATTCATTTAGAGTCTAGATGATCATCAGTCTACGTGACAGTGAGTCAAAACAATGTGTCAATAACTCCAATATCCTAATGATCATCTAGACTCTAGGTGAAGATCATCACTCAATTAAGGCTTCATTGATTATAGTCGCTTTTTAAGTTTTTAAGAATTTGATATCGATTTTTAGAATGCTATCTGAAATCACAATAAAGCAATATGGGTAAATTAGGCATGTAAGACTAGACTAAATAATATAAATATCCCTCATTTTACCTTAACAAATACATGAGAATAGAGTTATTTATGATGTATTTAGTACATTAGACTAAATGAAATTGAACAGACTTAACGGATAAATATACGAGATATTTTGTCGTGCTAGTCGTATTTAATCTATGGCATCAGATGTATACCAAGATAGATGGGCACACAATGAAATAAAGATGTGGTTTAGTGATTACAATGCAATGACAAGCATGGTGACATATTGCCATAATGTACAATCCAAGACCAGTTGGCCTAAAGCATTCAATTATTATTACCTTTTGCTGGTAATGTGACACCAAAAATCCTTGGGATAATGCAGGGTGTGCACTGAGTAAATTATTCTGAGATATTAAGCAATCATCAATATTGGAATGGCAAATGCAGGAGCCAGGTCTCGAAAAGTAGCAAAATCGAGATAA